CAGCAGCGGTGGGAGGCTGGACAGACCCCCGTGAGCATCACCAAGGAGCTACACACACACACACCGTGACTGCCGGGGCAGCTGCCTCCCATCAACATCACTCTGGGGCTGGAGGGCAGACCCCCACCCCAATATCACTACTGGGGGGTCAGTAATCCCCCACATCGCCCTCCTGGGAGTGGATTAACCAGACCAGAAATACTGGGAGAGCAGATGGACCCCCCAACACGACCGAAGGAGAAGCATCCCCCCATCAGCTCGGGGATGCTGCCAGAGCCAGCCTCCTGCACTGCAAAAGGGGGCAGTGGAGCAGGCAGCGCTCACCCCCCGTGGGGCTGGGGTGTACTGGGGCTGGGGGGAAACTCTCCCCTCCCTCCTTATCCCTGCAGCTTAAGGAGGGGTGTTTGCCTATGAAGGACCGCCAAGCAGGTGGGATGGGGGCTGCAGGAAAAGAGGGGACCATTTTTAAAGGTCCCCAAAGCATTGGGGAGGATCAATGGTTGACAGATCAGGGTGCAGGAAGGAGAGGGGGGCAGTTCTGTGGGTCCTGATGGAAGCAGGGGAGATGGTGCTGGGGTCTCTGCAGCAGGAGGGGAAGTACGAGGGGGCAGGACACAGCTGGGCTCACGGAGTCCTGGGGGGACAGTAAAGTGTGGGGGGGTTTGCTGATCAGCATGGCCAGAGGCTGCTGGGGTCTCTGCGGCAGGCAGAAACGGGAAAGGAGAGAGGTTGAGGGGGCCAGGAAGGCTGTTCTGGGGATCCTCGGGTACAGAAAGGATTGTTTATCCTCAATGAGAAGGGGGCAGTCCCGGGGGGTCCCAGGGGCACCGTGGAGGCGCTGGGGGACAGTCCCGGGGCAGCCCCCGCGATGCTGCAGGGCAATCCCAGGGGCAGTCCCGGCATGAGGCGGGGGCTGGTGCAGGGGGAACAGCGTGGTGGTGTCTGGAGCAGGGATGGGGGAGCCTGGGCTTCTGGGGGCGGGTGTCAGTCACGGAGCTGGGGAGGCTCAGGGTTGCCGGGGGACAGTGCTGGAGCTGATGTAGGGCAGAGATTCTGGGGATGCTGGCGGCAGTGCCGGGGGTGGCAGGGGACAGCGCTGGGGATGCAAGGCAGAGCCGGGAGCCGCAGGAATGCGGTGGGGCAGTGCTGGGGATGTTGCAGGGCAGAGACAGGGGGTGCCGTGGGGCAGAAGTGGGAATACAAAAGCAGAATCGGGAGTCTGGGGATCTCGTCAGGCGATATTGGGGGTGCCAGGGATGCACTGCCCGATGCCGGGAATGCCGGGGAAGCAAGGGCAGAATCCTGGATCCTGGGGTTGCTGTGGGAAGGTGCTGGGGGTGCAAGGGCCAGTGCCGGGGATGCCGGGGGGCAGTGCCGGCAATGCTGCAGGGCAGATCCGGGGACGCTGCAGGGCAGAGCCAGGGATACTGCAGGGCAGAGCCGGGGATTCCAGGGCACAGCCGGGGATTCCAGGGCACAGCCGGCAATGCAAGGACAGATGCGGGGGTCCCGGGGATGCCGTGGGGCAGCGTCAGGGATGCAGGAGGCAGTGCCGGGGACGCTGCAGGACAGATGGGGGGTTCCGAGGATGCCGTGGGGCAGAGCCGGGGATGCGGGAGTCAGCACCAGGTATAAAAGGACAGATCCGGGGGGCTCGGGGATGCCGTGGGGCAGTGCCGGGGATGCAGGAGTCAGCACCAGGGATGCCGGGGATCCTGCAGGGCAGATACGAGGGTCCCG